GCGGGTTCTACAGGCTGCTTTTATAGTAATAGTACAAACGAAAGGAGATAAACTAGATATGGTAACTGAGATGTGGTGCTTGGTCATGTAGGTTCGTTCCCTCGTGGTTCTTCGTCGATCCCGCATGCTCTTGGTGCCGGGAGATCGTCGGTTTTGACCCCTGCGGTCTATATTTGGTATATTGGCAATACCGCGGTGCCTTCCGCACCCGCAGTACGATGCCGCGCCGGCCTGGGGTTGAACCCAGCCTTTTCAATACATTCCTCCTCGTGCTTGTCTTTGGTGGATCCGGCCGCGGGCAGTGCTTGGCCCGCGAAGTACCGGAGTGCCTGAATCCGATCGCTAGAATCCGAATTAGGACTTGTGTGTCTTTGATTTGACAGGCCGTGTCGCGCCGCGGCGCCACGTGATCGTCTGATCGCTTTGGCAGTTCCCTGTCTTAGGGTAATAATGGGTCTATGCTCGACCGCGGCCCGTTAGTAGGCTCCGCGGTAGGTTATACACAGTTATGGGACGCCGCGGCATAGCCGCGGCCGCTTTCCTCCATAATGTAACCGTTAACACAACTATGTCTTTGGCAGAGAGGCGCCGCGGTGGCACTGCGGCAGCTCTCCTACGCAGTTTAATGTACCGTGCAACATGTTAAGTCTCGCCACTTCATCTATGCAGTCTCTGGGTCGCTTTTATAGGAATAAATCCCTTGAATAGGTTATAGGCGTTTATGGGTATATCTCCTTGGTAGTGTATTCAGAGTACAACACGCCGCGGCGTCACCGCGGTCGTGCTCTGAATACTACAGTCAGTAGTCGGAGCTCGCTCTGACTCTCCTTTATATCACCTAACAGAGTTCAGGTATACAGATATGTTTGTATATTACTGAAACTACTCTGCACTTCTTAATGATGTGTTTATAAGCGCAAAAATAGCTAGAGGACGTGCATTTGGTGTTGCGCCGTCTCAACGGTTCACTATTCTAAAGTACGGAGGAGAATCCACCCAAAAGTCTAGCTTTCCCTGAATTTTGTAACATGTCCCGTTCTACAATCCTGTCGAGGAGCGGACGACTGTTCAGATGCAATGCAGTTTCCGTTGTTATAAACACTATGGGGCCGTTCTCAGTTCTTTTGTATACAGCTACCCTCAGTCCTCCGACCTCTTCTAGGGTGCTTCGTGTGCTGGGAGGCCCTAAACTTGTTTTCAACGACTCTGCTCCTGTCTGCCATTCCGTTCTTTCCAAGTCTGTTCCCTACTAAACTCTCTACAAATCGTCTTCTTCTTTCCGCTCGCAAGCTCTAACGAGTGGAGTCGGCTTCTTGAGAGCTGTGATGAAGGTCGATACCCGTTCCGTTCAACGTGAGTGGTCGGGGAGTTATACAACTCGAGCGGTGACTGGCGTGGTGCTTGAGAATGCTGTTATGTTGAGCGGTCCGTACAGCAGCGGACAATCCAAGGGCGGCGAGTCGATGTTCTGCCAGGCACTGCCCTGGAGACCTTGTTTTCGTAGTCGGCATACCCTGGAGAGCGGTACTTGCATATCACTTAAGATGCACTGGTAGTTTTAGATGGGAAAATTAGATGTCTTTATTTGTAGCAGCGTCTCATATTTATAGGAAATTGACTGTCTAGTACCGCCTTCTGCATGTTCCTCTTGTCCTTCTCCGACCCATCGCATCCTGTTCCCTAAATCGGGACCGCCACATGCTCCTTTGACTGGTTCCGTCCGTCTTTGTGACTCGAAAGAGGTTCCCGCTCCATTCCTGTGCTGCGCATGGGAAACCCGCTTGATGAACGCATGGTGCTCCAGTTTTCCGCTCTCAATTCTGCATTCCTGGAGGCTGTGCATGAGTTTTCCGTTCGTCGAACGCATGCTCATTTAGTCGGGAACGATTTCCGCTCTCAGCTCTATTGTTCCAGAACCTGTGTGCGAGTTTTCTGCTCTTTGGACGCATGCTCCTTTAGTCGGGAACAATTTCCGCTCTCAGCTCTATGTTCCAGAACCTGCGCGTGAGTTTTCCGCTCTTTGGATGCATGCTCCTTTAGTTGGGAACAATTTCTGCTCTCAGCTCTATGTTCCAGAACCTGCGCGCGAGTTTTCCCTCTTAGATCTCTTCTTGGTTGGCCCATTCCTCCTTGATCTTGTTCTCCTCCTCATTTTGTTGATACCCTCCCCAACTTGAATGACCTATTCCTTCTCGAAGGCCGCTCCACGAGCTCCATAACCATACCCTACTTGACTATATTTTGTTCGGCGCCTGGCTCGGCAAAGCTGAGCAAGGCAAGGCAGAGGTGAGGCGAGGCAGAGGGGAGCGCGAGGCGGAGGGGAAGTAGTCGGGCAGGCGAAGTCGTGGTTCATAAGGGCACGAAGTCAGGCGAGCGGCAACGTAAAGTCGGTGCGCAACCCGTTGCCGTTTACTAGGTCGGGCGAGCGGAGATGTAAAGTTGGTGCGCAAAGTTGCCGTTTACTAAGTCGGGCGCACAAGTCGGAATTATCTTTTTAGCGCGACTCCGTTCTGTCCTAACTTTTGCTTCAGGATTTCCACTTGTCGGCATCGTTTCCGTTTGTGTGTTCAGACTTGTGGCTAGTGTGTGTATTGGAAATATCGTTAGGTTTGCAGCTGGTGTGTTTATCGGAATTCTGTTGTGTGAAGTTGGCAATGTGTAAGCATCGGATCGGAAATGCGCCCTGTCTCTTTTTGGTGATGCCGTTTCCGCTTTGTATGTGCCATTCCAGAGCGATCACAAAGTGATGGCTCACACCGGAAGCGGCGTACTTGCATCCCTGCCAATTTAGAAAATCCCCAGAAAGAGTATACTTAAATAGAGCACCGCGAGCCTGCATTTTCAATTGAGGGGAAGGAGTGGGATAGATCGAAGGAAGGGAAGCAGAGGTTGGTTAAACTTCAATGTTCATGGTGATCAAGTCAACTAATTTATTAGCTCCTCTTAAGTAGTGGGCGGTTCGACCACTTTGCGACTCAAGTTTTAGACAATGTCTTAAGTTCTGCTCAAGTAGCCCAAATACCATTATTACCTTGACATCTCCCAATGTCATCTCGATCTTAAGTTCCCATCTGGATTTTAAGTTGCATATAACTCAAGTTTTGGGTTTGAGATCAGTTCATATAAAACATATTTATCTAAAACAATTGAACTCAAGTTTGGTGTTCCAACCACTCAAGTTCTGTTTTCTCCTAAGCTCTGCCAATAGACTTGGGTTCCAGCAGAGCTTAAGCTCTACTGCAACTTGAGTTTTATGAACACAAACAGGGTGGCATACCAGTAACTAGAGTGCCACCAGAACATCGTTGGAATCAAATGTCAGTGTAACTTGAACTGAGCTTGAGCTTGTACAAATTGATCTGACCAAATCCTGGAGTGAAGTGCTGAGGAGAAGAGGAAATCACGAGGTGCTGGTCGAGGTTAAAGCCAAGTCGAAGTGATGTGTCCTGGCATGTTTGGCGCTCGGCCACTGATTCAGTAACATCACGCGTTACTCATTCCAAATTCTCTTTCTGTCCACCACACCCACCGAACATGCTTGACTATTAACCAACCATCTGCGAAGCCAGGGCCTGTGACAGGGTACCGCTCCTAGTTGTCCAAGGGGTGCCACCTTTCTTAGCCGTTAATTCGGATTCTGATAGACTGATACCAACATACCAGTAACCACAGCATGCCACCCGCCGATAAAGCTTGGATAAACTGGCTTTGGTCATCCGCCAATCATGGTGAGCCCTTACCAAGTTGTTTGTCATGTATCTAGCATTTTTGATAGATTAAGAAATGGGATTTGTTGATAACCTTCGACGAGCTGGTCATCAAGATCGACGCTTGGTGCGACGTAGTCTTCAAGTGGATAGAGAATATGGTGAGCGCTATGGGTCCATCGACATATTCATTACTTACTCGCTATGGATCAGGATATACACAGGGCATGCAAGGATTTTCAGCGCAGCGTGGGCTGTATATGATGGGACACCAGTGCATCTTAAGTTAGCAGCACTTAAGTCTTACAAAACTTAAGTCTTGCGGACTCAACTTCAGGTTAATTCACACTGGTATACAACCTAATGATAGGGACCTATGTAAATGGAACTTGAGTTTCCAATACAACTCAAGTCGTCGGCCAAACTTGAGTGGTAGTGTAGGACTTGAGTTTGAGCGGGGGGGGATGGGGGTGCCCATGCCCGTGAGTGGATCATGGGTGCGAAACTTAAGTTCTGGGCCAAACTTAAGTGCCAAAGTGGTCGGACCGCGCAGGACTTAAGTTGAGCTTATTATATTTCATATCAAGTGGCCCTAGATGAGCAGAGCCGCAGTCATTGTGATACGGCATGCACGAGAGTGCTGCGAACGAAATTTTGAGGCAATAAAAAAAAGCATCAAAGTGGCGACCTGCATGTACCACCCATCTTGCTGCTGCTGCAATAAAAAACAATAATGCCTGTTGTTGTGATAAAATGCCAGTTTGGAAGAGCAGTGTTAACTGGATGGATGGGAACAAGATGAACGTGGCTAACTTAGACAGATTTGGAAATGATCATCCTCTTCCGAGTCTTCTCTCCACACCATCATGACAATATTCCAGAATAGGACTCACCAGTTCACTGCACACTGTTGGCCTTGCTTTAATTTCTGGAGCAGCTGCTATGTTCTAACCGGACATCAACGATACCTGGCCTTGGCAATACAGGGGAACATTTCTCCGGTCCGCTGCTTTATATGGACTTAGTCTCTCTTCTCATATGTTTGCTGCATGTCCCTTCCAGTGCTCTGTAGCCCTTGAACTTTGCTCGGTGACTTTACTGTGATGGGACATGTCACAATGATTCCGACCCACAATTCAATGTGCTGAGGATTGACCAGGAGGTCAATATTTAATGCCTGCTCGCAGCAAATAAATGTGCCTTCCAGCAGTAACATGCATAAAACGGAAGCAATGGGCTGCTACCACAAGAGAGAGAAAAAAAGAAAGAAAAAACTCAAATAGAAATAAAAGATTCCGAATCGGGGAATCGAACCCCGGGCTGCCGCGTACATATTACGTAAAACCACAATTGCTTACGTCAGCATGAGAAGCGGCAATGTTGACCCCTACACCAATTCGGAGCTCGTATGAGTAGTATATCATCTCTTAATGTGGTCAAAGTCCAAAGTCATGGAAACTTTTGAGTTGAGTTCCAGCCAACTCCCACCTCTGAGGCATAGCTCTCGGACTCAACCATGATTCAGTCTCATAAACCCGGGACTCGTATATTCAGACAAGCTCGATCAAGTTTTGTCGACAAGATTCTTTTCTTCGTGTTTTCTGTCCAGCCAACAGTCTTCCACTGATTTTGCCTTAGCCTTGCATGCGAAAAGTAAGCGAAAGTTTCTCTACCAAACTGTTGGATTCCTATCTATAATTGAATAGGGACAGTCAGAGTAAGTACTTAAGTTTCACAACCTGTGTCGACCTTGCCGAGATGCAAGTTGAAACTCTGTGTTTCGGTTAGGCCAAATGCTTCGGGGCTCCAATATATGGCAACACCGAAGGATTTCGGTGTAAGTGAAACTCCAAGTTTTGTCTTCATATCTCAGCTCACCCGAATCGCAATCAGAAACTTTGGCATTCCGGATAAACTTCAGGTGGGGGGAATTGGTATACTGGCGGTGTGTGTGCTTCAGATGTGATTCCCAGAAGTGCTTGGCAGTTTATTGAAGTATGGGAGAATCACTTCACGAATCAAGTGAATCTCCCGTGCTTGAATAAATTGTGAAGCACTTTCGAAGCACTTGCCTGAATCTACGGTAGGTGGGATGGTCGGGCTGGAATTTGGCTTGAATTTGACATTTATTAGATTCGATAATTCAGCTAGTGCCGCCATCTCGGGGAATCGTCCCGAATGCCGATACGTCGCCCGATATGTATTCTTTCTCAAAGCTCGAACCTTGTGATCCAGCGATGACGGACATGGATTCTGAGCAACTCTAACACAATCTCGTCCCCTCATCGAACCAAGATGTGTACCAATTTGGTGATCAGATCGAATGAAAAATCAATTCCGAAGCGCCGCCCTCTCCTGCATGGCACGCAATTGTATCAAAAGATTCTATTATTTTGCAGGAATGACGCTCCAACTTTTTGTTACTCAGTCTGTCCACAGAGGCACTATAGCGATCATGGCGGAGGGGTTGATGTTTGATTTGTCGGCTTTTCGGCTACATATGTTGAATGTCCAATACTGTGCCTGAGGATTATCACAGTAAAAACTCTGCATAGTATGTTTGGCTTTCAGACAAATTATTTTTATACCCAGAGCCGCGGCCAAGTCATGTATGAGTTGAATCTGATTCATGCGGAGGAATTTTCCTTTGAACTTTGATAGTTCAGATGTGTTGGAGGGCTATTTAGAGCGAACCGCAGAGCTGTGCGTGCGTAGAATTCCCACTAGGCCGCCGTCCATGTATGATTTAGTACAGAATAATTCACAAACTGTTTCCTAGATCCTATCACGTTCCGGACTTCACCCCTGTAACTCTTCCAATACTCGGGCATTCACTGGCTTTCATTCTTCGCACTGGCACATAATACCACGAGCGCTGCAGTGACCTGCGATTCACTATCATTTCTGCGACTGCAGTGAGCCCAAATCCAAGCCAAGGCCAGGCAAGCGAGCACTCACAACCACAAATGTTACGGCAGTTGAGATCATTGGCCGCAGAGCAGCAGCAAATGCTGATAGGCGGCAGAGAGGCAAGGGCACTGGGTTCATGAGAAGTGGTTTGCCAACGACCGAGCCGCAGGGATCGGGGCCGCCGCCTGAGATGCAACAAATATCGGGGACGGGGTGGCGACGGCATTGGTGCACGCGATGAATACACCGGCGAGAAAAGTGAGGGTGGTGAGGGAGATGTGCATTGTGGGTATTGTTTTGCGATGTTCTGCTGCATGGCAGAGCTTAGGTTTTTATAGCTCGGGGTGGGAGTACTAAGTAGATAGGGAATAGTTGCCTGATCTCACCGGGGATTATTCAACCCGTCGTTCTCTCAGCAAATTTGAATGAAATTACGAGAGACTACATTGAACTGCCACGCGTGACGCCTCACTCTGTTTAAATCCTGATTCCTTCTCCCGAGTCTCTATATGTCTTATCAAATCCCGCCGATCGATTCGCGCAGCGGCAATGCCGACATTGGGGTTCCCTTCTTACACCATTTTTCCCGTGGAGTCTTCTCCCGTCCCGCGTTTTCATATGTCCTTAAATTGTCCACAGAAACCATTTTGGAGGCCAGTGTGATTCCTTTCACGGGCGCCACCCTTGCCCCAGGATTGAATGGCCATGCAGAATTCCGCCGTCCATGTGGTGTCATTGCAAAGATTAAAGAGTGATGAACGGACTTGTTTGTGATCGTCTGTTATTACCGCGTGGGCGAATTCAGTCTAGGTTTGCTTGATTTCCCGCGAGAATTCACGATGTTATGTTCAACCGAATTCATATCCTTATATCATCTTGAATTTAAATGTTTCAACAGAGTGTAACTTCTGATACTTGGCACAAATAACCCGATGCCTACACGAACATTGGGCGGTGCTGAGAGTTGACAAATCAATCCCGGTCACGGACTGTTCCGCTCGCCGGCCTTACCTGTTCTATTTCCACATGGAGGCACGTTCGATTCAAGCCGTTGCTCGGTATCAGTTCTCTTGAGATTCTCTGCCCAACAAGCTTTACGACCCGTGCCTTTGGCACGGCTACTCGCTCTGCTTGCAGCCGCCTTCGGCAGGGTCGACAGCTTGTTGGGGCTCCACCCCAAACCCGGAAGGTGGCTCTGCATCTTAGTATATGTTTTTATGGCACACAAAATTTATAAACATCGAACTATACATGACAAACTACCTGTGAAATCCATTAATCAGACTTCGGAACCAATGTCGGAAAATATATATACATACTGTACTTAAAGAAGAACCTCTGGGTAGACAATATTTTTCGTAGTTGTGCTGGCATCATTTTTGAACAGTGCTTTAACTCTTCGACTCGAAGTGCATCGAGAAAGTGCCACATATAACTGCCCATGAGCAAAGACATCAGTCCGAAGGTCCAGACCAATGTGGTCCACAGATTGGCCCTGTGATTTGTTTATAGTCATTGAAAATGCGAGACGAACAGGGAACTGTCGACGTTTCATGGCAAAGCCAATCTGCTCCACTGAAGGATTAATTGAGATGCGTGGGATGAAGGCCTTTTTGCCACTGTGTTCTCCACCAATCAGCCGTATTTCGAGGACATGAGGTGACATTTTAGTGAGAATTCCTCGAGAGCCATTGCAGAGACCTTGGGATGGATCCAGATTTCGAAGGACCATAATTGGACATCCAACCTGTAATTTTAGTTTTGCAAGGGGAAGTCCAGAAGTTCGAATAGAATTAAGGTATATAGGATATTCAAAATGATTGTTGTCAACACCCTCCTCTCTGATCACAGAATCTGCAATGTGGAAAACTGTCTGCTCTCCTGGAAATTTCTCAAGCAGTGCGTTGTTGAGCTCATCTACATCATCATTTCGGGCAGAGAGAATTGTGCGTTCCAAGAAATATTTATCCTGATCATGATCTGGACGTATGGTGGAGATCCCAGGATAAATGGTGTCAATCATAGATTGAACAGTGTTGGTGGGTAGCTTCATAACCTCCGGAAGTTCAATGTTCTGGGCAGGATCAATGTTCCTTCCATGTCCAACATCCAGAAGCCATTTTGCAAAATCCTTATCCTCTTGTCGTGCATTAGGACCTCCCAGCCGCATGTTCTGAGTCAAATGAAGGATTTCAACCTTTTTCCACAGGAGTGAACGTTGAAGCCATAGTCCAACAATTTGCTCCCTTCCACCTTTGACAACAACAGGAAGGATCTGCTGGAAGTCACCACCATAGACTACTGTGGTTCCACCATATGGGTGGGGATCATTTCGAATGTCCTGCATACACTGTGTTCAGACCCCCCCGTAGGCACAGGTCTGCCAGATCCCGATAGGCAGATGTGTAGGCAGATCAGTGTGCCGACCCTTGCCAATCCATCTGCCCATCCCTGCCGAGGTTGGTCTAGGTATTCTGGCCGGATTAGGCACACATAGACTCACATGGGCCGATGTGCCTAGCTGGGTAAATTCAATAACCAGCATGGTTCGTCGTCATTCTCAATCCAAACACCAGTTTTAATCCATTCTCACACATATGCAAAAGGGAAGACCACAGCCACGGGTTTGACAGATTGAAAGAAATGCTTGATTGCCAAATGATTATCGCGGACATCAATGAAAGATACACTAAGATTACGTGCCAGGAGAGTTGCAGGAGGTAGAAACAGTAATTACCACTACAACTAGGGCGAATTGGCAGCCTAATTTAGACTGCCACCAACCTGGACCCAGGTTGACCAGGGTCGGCCATGATAGGCACACCACCGTCGACGAAGATCTGCCAAGGTGGGCAGGATCTGCCTTGGTAGGGATGCTAGACCAAAGTCGGCCAATGCCTATTAATGTGGACCAACATCGGCTTGGGTGGGGAATCCATAGGCAGAGATCAGTGAAGGTGGGCACATCTGTGCCTACAGGGGGGTCTGAATGCAGTGATAGTCTTATCCACAGCTTCCTGTGCTCGCCGATCCTGCATTGGAACCTCATCCCAGATAATCAGGCAGACCTTCTTAAGCAGCTCTGCCAGCATAGTGCCTTTTTTGACATTGCAGAGAATCCCTTCCCTGAGTATGATGGGAATTTTGAATGTAGAGTGAGAGGTTCTACCACCAAGTAATAATAAGGCTGCAATTCCAGAGGATGCCACACAAAGTACAATGATACCCTCTGCACGCAATGCATAACATAATGTGTTATATACGTGAGTTTTTCCAGTGCCTCCAGGACCATTCAAGAAGAACAATTTTGGTTCATTATTCATAACAGAATTCATTATTGCATCAAATGCAGTGCGCTACTCGGGATTCAATCCCTGAATGCGAGGCTCAGCTAAATTACGCTGCTCATCACGGTCATAGGCAAGCTGTTCTGCAATGAGCCGATTTGCATCAAGCTGAGCCCAATTTTCAACAGGTTGTGGCATAGGAGGA